AGCACCATCAGATGAGTCATTGGAATTCTTACTTGAAAGCATCAAATTTTATTCGAATCGTTTAATTCAGTTTTGCTTTCCATAATTTATTGATTTACTATGTAACGCTGAACGCAATAAGCAAATTATTTAAAATTCAAGTTTCTAATAAAATATGGGATCATGAAAATTGCTGAAATTATTTTTTATTAGTATTATTATTCGTAGTTCCTTAATCTCAAAATTACATGCATTCTTCAATAAATAAAATTTAATTTTTATAATTATAATAAATATGTGAGTATAAAAATTTAAAACTTTTCATCTAATAACTTACGAAAATATGTTACCTGTTTCAGATCACGTCGCTTCACCTCAGTTACGAACACAACAGGGCAATCCAAACTTTGACAATTTATATTACCGACGCGACCAGAACATGATTGACAAATTTGTTGAGTGGTAAGGAAGCCACGTTCAATTTTGGAAATTTTCATTTGTAAAACGCTTACTGAGTACTGAGCATTACGAGCGCATTCCATGCAAATGCCATGCTTAGTTTGGCGACCGCAATCCAAAACACAATTTATGGTAGAAAAAAACTGGGATATAGTGGATTTTTTTGTTTTATCATTCTCCTGAACAATTAACTCGTTGGCAGTGGAAAGAGCAGGCGTCGAAAAGACTTTTCTTGGTAGATCGGCAAACCTAAAAAATTATTCAGCTGTAAAATTGTTCCTAAAAAAATCCACACTTTACTTGCCACTCATTAACGTCAGCTCCTATTAGAAGCAAACATCTATTTAAAGGTGCAATAATTGCCTTCGTTATATAATATAAAGCATTAATTTTGAATGCGTCATCATTTAATATTTCATGCGGATGACGTACTAAACGGATTAAGGGTACACCAGGCGGTCCATTGATTATAATAAACGGTACACGTTCACCTCTGCGCGGTATGCGTCGGGGATCTGTTTGTATCCACTTTCTGTAATGGTCCATAACTATGATAACTACAATATTTTAACGAAGGCTTTCCTTTTCGACTCTACAAACCTTGTCATTTCCAAAGCTGGGACGCAAGCATTCGGTTTATAACCCTTGAGACCGCGAAATTCTTTAGCAAATATTAAATCCTGTAAATTGGCACGACCTGATAATAGTTTTGTAAATTGGCGGCAAACATATTGTTTCACTTGACTAACGTCGGCAGTTTCGAAAAGTATACGTAAAACCTTCTCCAACATCTTAGAAAGAGAAACATGGATTAAACGACGCAATAATAATAATAATTTTTACCGACTTACCTTTGCTACTATCGGACAACCATCTCTTCTAACTGTTTCAATGCCTTTGGCTTCATAAATGGGCTCCTTTTGCTCGACTGTCTCATACATATAACCCACATAACGTTTTTTTGTCTAATAAAATATGAGTAAAGACCTTGAGTAGACCTTGTCTTAATTATGATTGACATAATCCAGCCAACAGATAATTGGAAAACTGACCTGCAATATGCAAGGTTGATAGACCTTTTCCAGTTTCAATTTAACTGGATGAGGATTTGCTTGTGTCACTGCTTCAGCAATTTCTGTGCCAATACGAAAAGCCTCCTCTCGATTACGGCCTGGCACTAGAACAAACATGGAGTCGGTATCACCGTAAACTACTTTCACATTCCATTTCTCGTTAGTCTCTACCAATTTTATGGCTCGCTCAAGGGCTTCTCGACCTTTGGCCACAACCGAATCGCCTACTTCGACAGCTGGCATACGACCACTAAAATTCGCTGCTGTATAACCGTAAGTCACATTCGCCATCAATTTTAGACCTAATTGGCGGGAGTGAAGAACGCGTTGCAACGCCGAGCTCGATTTATACAATTTCATTGATTGTTTCACCATTTGACGAGTATCCAAAATCTCAGTAAGCATGCGAGGTAGAATACCTTCACGCACAGATGATTTAACGAAAACAGCACCGCAAGGAGATATGGTAATCAGATCACGATCTAGTAGCTTGCGCAGCATGGATGGTGAGACCCGCAATTGTGAGGCTCCGAATTCAAAAGGCAGAGATCTTGAAAAGGGTTACTACATTAAGATAGATTGGAAAATTAATATTTATCTCAACACTCACTGTCCTATGTGCTCAACACGACCCAAGCAAGTCGAAAAGCAATAATTATAAGCTATTATCACACTAGGATATAAACTTTGAAAATCCAATACTATTAAAGGATCGGCATAAAAACGTGACAATGGCTCCATTATTAACGGTAAATATTCTGGCGCTCTCATATGGGCTCTTTGCTGAACACTCGGTGACAGTGCCACTAGATTCTTGGGTTTAGCAATTCTACAAAATAGTTTGCAATAAGACGAAATATAAAATAATATCCGGGAAACGACTCTAACAACCTTAACATCATGCTTTCCACACGAAACTGAGAGCCACGCGATAAGACCTCGTAGAATTGTATGCCAATAAGCTTTGCCATTTCACTTGTACGGCCAATTAAATCTAATTGATCAAGTAAAGTCAAAGTGCCTCTAACTCTTTCCAGATAATATTCCAGAACAATCCATCTCGAACAAGGTGCAGAAAACCATTCAGTTAAAGAACGATAACTATGCCATGGGCAGCGTTTATGTAATATATGATACATGACATTCTCGAAAGTGTATGATGTCAAAGCGATTTCAGAACGCATAAGCCTCCAAACGTCTAACAATATACGGCCGCATAGTTTCATCTGATTGAAAACATAAATGATCACTTTTTTGGCTGCAATAAAATAACATCTACCTCAACGTCCAGATCAGTGAATTGCTCGTTATCTTCATCTATGAAATCACGACCCTTTTGTGTAGGTACACGCGATAGCAAAGGCGCTATATTAACACACAAATATTTAGCTCTTTCAATTACGAAGCCCCAAGAGGACATTTCAATTTCGTAGCCAGCGTATATGTCAGGATCCCAACGGTTACATAAACGCAGTAAAGCTTCCAACGCTTCTATCTCGTTGTCAGCTAACGTAACTTCAATATCGGTATCTAACCCGTGCCTGAAGCTTTGCCGTTCAAGTAAATCGCACTCATCTTTCACCATTATGCAACCACAGGCTTTGCCAGGTAATTTATTAGAGGCATCCTGTTGATTGCTTGGTATACTATTTTCGATGGCATAGAAAAGACAACGAATTGCATCGATTTCAGGATTTGGGAAGAGATCCCCACGCGTGGACACAAACACTTCGAGAGTAAGAATTGTCAAATAAGTGCACTAAAGTGACAAGTAGAAAGAAAGTATTTAATTGAATATATACTGAAGTGAAAAATTTTTGTTTATCGATATGAAAAACAAATTACATTCGGGTGCCGAAGCTATTTCCATGCGATCGGAATATATCACATATCGTTTAAATTATTTTTTCAAAAATATTACGTTTAAACGGCTGAAAACCGAATAAGCAATTCATATTCAACTTGGAGGTAATCTTTAACGTCTAGATCAAATTTGTAATAGTATTTGCTAGTGCAGCGTGAAGCAGCGCCGTGTCGGCATTAAGCTAGGCGTCAAGTTTCAAACTCCTGTGTAAATGTTCATAGACAACAAATGAAGTGATCGACTCACAAGTTGACTAATAATCGGATAGTGAACGGGCAGAAAAGTATGTTAACGTTCATCTATACTTCGATGATAAATATAAAAGTTGCAAAGTAGTTTTTTTCTGACTTTCCACATGAACACTGTAAATATTTGTGACAAATTTAAAATCGCGATATGCTATAAATTTTAATTTACAATTTTTCGTCTATAGATCTAGGTAAAACCCAACAGTTGAGAATACATATATCAAGTGTAAGCCGTCTATTTTCATTTTTGCAATCGTGGTTGTTCCAATACAGCAAACAATTCGGCTTCCGCCGAATATAACTATACTATATTTCTATATATCTATACTTTTCACATTCTACTCTCCAAGTTCTTTTATTTGATACCCATATAGCTGATACTATTAAGAAAAAATGAATCCACCAGGTCGCGTCCTCACCCATTTTCAATACCGACCTGCGTGCAAAAAATTCCAATGGTTCTTGAAAATTTGAAGTCGATATCTTCATGGCGAGGAGAGTGCCAACAAGAAACACCACACAGACGGACAGACATGACTTAATGAATTTAGAATTTCGCGCTGATCAAGAATATACATGCTTTATTGGGTCTGTGGAACTTCTTCTTGAATGTTACATACATTATGAAAAAAAAAAAAAAAACAAAAAAAAACAAAATGAGTATACCCCCCATCTTACAGTCGTGGGTATAAAAAAATCATACTCACCTCTACATCTGCTTTGGCTTGCTGTAAATTCTCCAAAGCTACCTTAAAACCATAACTATTACTTAAATCTGCACAGTCGTTCTGGCTCTGCAGATTTTCTTTCTGAATCTCACGTCTAAAAGACGAACGCTCCAATTCAGCCAAGATCGTTTGACTGCTAATACTAGATTCGGAAGTAGTTTGACTGATCATAATCTCTTGATTGCTATCATCATTTATACTATCCCGTCTTTTGTTTAAAATTTCTTCTGGCTTGCAGCTCAAAGAGAGCCTCTTCCTTAAAGATGTCAATTTTAATTCTTTCGAACTATTGCTTTCACTATTCTCAGTGCGATTTGAAACCGGTGTAAAAATTTTCCGTAGACTATCTGTTTTATTCCCTACTTTACCATCAATTAGCGGTGTCCCTGGCGTTAATGGTGTCATGGCTAGACTGTGTGTTGTACACTGTTCACTGTTATCGCTGTCTTCGCTTGCCTCATTTCCCTCATCAGCTTTAAATATCATTGTAATTTTTTGGCGTCGTATTTTAATTGGGCTGTCTATGTCATCCACTTTAACGGTCGCGGCATCTTCTTTGCCTTTCAAGAACTCTCTCGCCTTCAGCCATAATCTCACTTCATGTTTAGTTGGTGCCATCAGTTGAGGTGTTATAGTTAACGCTTTCTGATTCGCGCAATATTCACGGATTTGAGGTGAAGTACGATATTTGTTCAACATTTCCATACCTCCGATTTCATGCAATTTATTACGTCTCCACGCTGTTATGCCCATGATATTATCAGTTTCCAAAACACTTTGAAATTCTTTAAGATCATTTAATTTATTGCCGGGAATATGTAAAACGGTATAACCAACTTCTTTGTGTTTTGTTATATCATCGGGATTACCATAGAACGGTTGCTGAAACTCATGTTCAGGTAAGCGTAACTTTTCACAGCCTTCTAAAACCATTTTTCTGGTAGGCGGCGAGCACATTGGTGTTATGGTTACCAAATCATTTGACTCTCGATCACTCGATATCGGCAAAAGAGCCTTAGCAATATTCGACAGTGCTAGCAAAGGCATTATAGAAGGGCGGCAGTTGTTTTCACTAACTACAGGACTAGAGTCCTGAGTAAACAGCGAAGGACTTTGCATTGAATCTTCATAAAAACTTATAATACATGGATCATCGTCTACATCGTCTACATTATCCGCAGAAAATACGTTACAAGTTTCAGCTATTGATAAGGAAGGCGAATTGAGCATTTGTGCCCTATCTATTCTTCTTTCATGCATAAGCTGAGAAGAGTTTGGATCTACTCTCAAACGCTTAAGTTTTACTCCACATTTTCGCAGAGGTTTTTTTGCCGTATTTTTCACGCTACTAAAATTAATTGTTGCCGGCGTTGAGAGTAACAGTTCAGGAGAACGTTTTGCTATCTCGTTTGCTGAATGCCCTTTCTTTGGGCAATCAATTTTCGTTCTTTTCAGACGAACACAACATTTTTTACAATTTTTCTTTCCTTCAGTACCATCTTTTATTAATCGATTGCGAGTCAATTTTTTGCGATTCCTTACACTATTTTTCGTTCTTTTAAACCTTTTTAAGCACAGCTTTCGGTTAAATGTTTTTGCTTCATCGTCGGAACAGTCAATGATTTCACTAATTTCACTATCCGTAGCATCCGTAGTTTCACTATCTTTTTGATTTAGAAATCCTTCGAGTTTACTTTCATCTGCGGATGACTTCTTCTGAGTTTTAGATTTTACGTCGTCTAAGCCGTTATGCATTTCTTCACAGCTAACTGCATTCTTTGAAGGCTCTCTCTTTTCATCTTTATCTTGATGACCAATACTATAAGTCTTAAGTTTTTTCTCTTTTTTTGAGCGCGGTGTTAATGCACATGTTATATAAGTCTTTTCCAGATCATTGTGTTTATTTGGCGTTTTGCTTGCAATGGAAAACACTTATTAATATTGCAACAAATAAGTATGTAATGATTATTAAGAGTATATTTTTTAATCCCTTACTACCCTCCGATATTCTTTATCTGATAGCAAAATCTAGTGAGGAATAATTTAAAGAAATAACGAACCTTCACTTCAAAGGACTACAAACGGGTCGATATGTAACACTTTCTACCATCACTGCATTTTGGAATTTTCGCTATTACAACATCGACTCGACTTCTACTCTGTACGAATCGAGTGATTTATTTAAGTCTTATATAAAAATCGCAAAAATGCGCCTCTGTAGACAATGATTTAATATCTTCGGCAATTAATGGGGACATCACTGTAAGAGCCAAAAAAAAAAAAGGTTTTATTTACCAACTTCTTTTAGGGGTTGGAAGCAAAGGTAATAAAATAATACCCGAGAAAGCTACTAAGCTACGACTATTTAGGCTTTATATGAAGAGAAATATTTTTTTGGAAAAATTTTAAAGAAAACCAACGCCGGGCCAATTCTTGCAAGGCATTTTTAATTTAAGGTGCCCTTATGAGTAGTAATCGAATCAGGGTTCGCGAATTTAAACCCCAACTGTAGTGAGTCCCTAACCGTGTAAGCTCCCTACCAAGTAAGCTCACATCCCTTACTAATTGGGCGCGCACTCGCTAGCCTGCGGCCGTCTTCCCATTTCTTTCTCTTTCATCACTTTTTTGTCAGCGCATTACACGAATAGGAGACGTCCTCTGAGCGATTGACCATATTAAAAATAAATGAAGGGGCTCTAAAACAAAAAGTGCAACTGGTAAATATTTAAATGAAGGTTTTCTTTGAGGTTTAAAATAAGAACACAAAACAAGGACATTTTTTTGCAGATATCGTTTTTGTCCGCCATGCCCTAAAAGATTTAAAGTATTGATAAAGCTAGCAAAACAATCTGTAAAATTTTCAGTGCAATTATGCCCAAATTTGTTACAAACTTTTCCGGAAGTCCCTTAAATGTTAACAGCTCGTATGGCCGAAGTGGGCAGAGCACTTTGCATTTTCTATATTTTAAAATGTTAAGCACTAAAGCTTCTAAGCTTTTTTTTTTATAATATCATCCCTTTAGATATTTAAATTAATAGCTTACACATATTTGATTTAATTTTTTCAATAAACTATTTTAAATATTGATTTCGGTTACCTTGTTTGCACTTCACTGTCCTTTGCGTTACCGCTTTTTAACACTTCATTCCCTTCGCTTATGCTGTGTCGCCGCATTTCTGTTAATGTCAATCTCTTGCGCGGTAATGGTCTACATACGTAATGTGTCAAATAGAACAATATCAAGGAGGCAAAAAACTGCTGGGTAGATAGAAGAAATATCTTACCTGTTAACCTTTTCTTTACAGTTTTCCTTCACTGGAGTAGTTTCATTCAACGGGTTGGTAAAAACTTCTGAAATTAGAAATAATTGACTTCTTCAAAATAAAAATGTTGACGATGTAAACTTACTTTTTCCCGTTGACATATTGGTAATTATTAAAGGAAGGGGAGCATATTTATGCAATGTTTTTGGGGTACGCGGTGAACGCTGAGGTGAAGTTACAGTTAAACGCCTACGTTTGGGTGTTTGAGTTAAACGGGGAGGTGTTAACTTTTTAGGAGTTCCTTGCACATCGTCCGTGCCATCAATTTGGGGTAATTTTTCTCCATTAGATATTTTTTGACTCTGAGTCAACTTTAGAATCAAATCATCGAAACTCTCTAAAGCCATAGAAAAGTCAAGTACATTTTCTTCTTCTTCGGTTGAAGTATCAGCATTATTCCCGTTTGTTATTTCTTTATGCAACGATTGTGGCGATATCAAAGCTGGCAAAGAAATCTGTGAAAAAACTCTGATTTCACAATTTGAAAATTAAAAAAACAACTTACGATTTGAACTATTTTGCGTTAAGGGAGCTAAAGTGCTGTCCAAATCTATTTTATTGCTATTATCACTAGTCTCCAGTTGTTCTAAAACGTCTAATAATTCTATATCTTCTTGGCGTACTTTTGAAAAAGAAATTCAGGTTTAAGAAATATTTAAAAATAATAAACCAGAAATCATTTGCTTACAAGTGGCCTCAAAAGCTATTCGAGAATTTTGTGTTAAATTCATAACCAATTTTTCATCGATAACCGTGTCATCTAAGTTAACATTTTCTTCTTCTTCTTCGTCAACCGTATGAAGTTTCTTTAAATTATTTGCAGTTAGACGTTCTTCAAACGTGTTATGGTTACTTAAGTGATTCTCCACAAAGGAAGCATTAATTATATTATCAGGCTGAGTGCATTCTTCGGGATATACAGAATTTTGCACTAATTTAGAAAGATTAAATTTACGTTTATCACTATTGATACCAACTGCTGTATTATTGATCAAAACGGAATTTAAAGTTTGATCTGCTAACGTGCTACCGCTAGAACAAATTGAACTGCTTGACATTAATTTACTTAACAGAGCAGTGCGATAGAATTCTTCATTTTCTGTAATCTTCACAAGTGGTCTATGCTGTGGAGGAGGTATTTCGAGAGGTGGTATCTGAAAATGAAAAATCAAATGTATGAATTTGCTATAAAGTGAAAGTCGCTATAAAGTGAATTTTTACTTAATTTAAATTTTCTTAGTTGACCGATTACTATGAATTTTTACACTATTGTGCCGCATTTTTGATCAAAATGTTTAATAGACTGCAAGTTATGATCACCAAAACGTTGGAATTCGTCCTCTCTCCGAGTGTAAGCCTTTTTAACTATCGCGATTGTGTTTGTGGCCACATTTCTAGCCACAAGTATGCCTAATTTCAAATTTCGATCTCAATTTCACGAATGTTGAAGTGCCAACAGCCAAATGATTTCAGAATATTACGCTCGTGAAAAATGTTACTATATATACCATACAATTCGGTTAGATATACAAAAAAAGAATTTATTACCTCTTTCTGCTCATGTTCGCACCTCTCAAACGTTTCTTGCCTTCTCATTTTTTCATCATGCCATATGGATTCTATACCTGGATTAGTATGCTTGCTGCCACTAGATTTGTATAACAATTGAAAACGATTTAATATAAAAATTGCCAAGATGTCCACCTCCAGAGCACAATTCGTCAATTTCTTGACAGTATGGCAGTTTAAAATTTGGATATCTGATAAATCCTTAAAAGGTATTACATCCGCGTCAGTAGCACGTCTAAATTTTACTATGTCGAATGGCGTATGAATAAAACTCATTCCATACAAATTGTAATCAATCATAAACTGTAGTATATAGGGAACATGAGATTCGTGGGGTTGAAATACCTTATTCAAAATGACACCATTCTGTAGCATGCCAGCTGCTCTTCGTACAAAACGTGGATTATACATATATATTTTTAAAAAATAGTGTTCTTTGCGATGGTAGCCGTAAAAGGGTCTTGAATATAAAAAAAAAAGTGTCAATAACGACAGGAAATTTTTTTTGAAGCGATCAAACGTAATATATTTTGTACTTACATTCCCTTCACTAGCTGCACTTTAAAAACATGCTGAGTCTCTGAACTTCCTTGACCCAATGAAATATTAATGGCTTTGTCTATGTTCATAGCGATTTGGTAAACGGCTTTACTTATCGAATCGAATTCCTTCTGTTCGTAGGGTATATAAAAGTAAGGGAAAACACCATGTACATGCATGCAACATTTGTGACCCTGAGCTGTTGAGCCGAATATTCTTATTACGGGCACCTAAATAAATAGTAATTAATTAACGTTCAAGTCAAAATTTCCAAATAGAGAAAATTTTAATAATTACTCGTTTTATTTGTTTCCCGCGAAATTCTGAGTAACATGCATCTAAGCCAAACACAGGCTTCTCCATATAAAAATCTGCTATAACCAGACGCATAGAAAATATTTCTTCTTTTTGGGACATTTTATTAAATTATTATCGAGCTTTATTAAAATATTTCAGCTTTATAGAATCCTTTTAAAGATTTCTTCGCAAAAATTTGTAAAGTTGTGCGAAAAACGTTGAAATAATTGAAAACAGCTGACAACTGTAAATAATAAGCAGAAATGCATATTTTAGTAAGGGTTAGGAAGAAAACACAGTGATGCGTTTTTCAGATTTTCGGATTAATAAGTCTGAAACGGTGAACACCTTGAGAAGCTGAGATACTTCCGATTCAAGATCTTCTAGAAACTAAAAATCTACTTTTGTAAACAATGCTGATCCTACTCACTTTGGTTCGTCCTCCTTTTAAACAGATCTTTCGATCTGTATACGAAAACTTATTTTTTTGAGTGCCTAGTTCTCACTGTTTGATTGAAATTGGTGTTCATTTGCATCCCACCATTCGTAGCTTCCCACATGTTCCAGAATATATCAAATTGTCTTCACTTAACAACATCGTTCGACATCACAAAGCTTAACGTTTAATCGGATTGTTTCTTTGAAGTCTCTTCTCCAAGTTCTTCACTAACACCCTCATCCAAAAGATTTCAAAAAAGTCACAACCTCTCTAACACTGGTGAAATACCGAATTCAATCGAGCCGCTTCCACACTTACGCTCGCCGTCAATAAATGACGTACTGCAGACGTCCTCGCAACGATTACTAAGATACGCAAACACTACTAACTTCAATTTCAAAAAGACACATTTCACCTTTCTTGTTAGAGGAATTTTCGAAAGAAAGGAAGCCTTCTGCTGCTGGTTGCGGGAATATTAAATACATGTTAAAAGTTATTTCCGGTCCAAGTCCGTATATTGAATGCCATACGCTAATTTTGGACAAACGACACTGTTCCAAATGATTGGCAGCGAATTAAGGTTGCATCAATTCCTAAGCTTGGCAAAAACCTTGATGAGAACGAAACCTATAGATGCTATTGTCTCCCTCCTTATGGAAGTTACAAATTTCAGAGTGACGGAAAGTCTTTTGACGTTGTTGAGCACTCGAAATCTCATTCCATAGACGAAGTTACTATAACAAGCGAAAAGAGGAAAGAGAGAGAGAAAAGAAACTTGAAACAGTTGTAAGAGGGCATGAAATACCGTTGCACTTGAAACTTTGGACTGCGTATTCTCTCTCAGCTCGTATTATAGTTATGGGTTCTGATTTGGTGGAGGTGTACGAGAATTCGCTGCAAAGCAACTGTCTGAGCCCCACCTTTGTCAGCCTGTACATCGACGATTTAGATCGACTTCGGTGTAACAGAACATGCGTATTTCAATAAGTTAATGACTTTTTGTTAGTCTTGGCGGGAATGTTTTTGTCGAAGGAGTTCCTGCCACCATAGTCAACGTCTCTTATGATGCTTCCATCATCAACATTTCCATCAAAGGTACATTTGTGATTCAAAGAACTTTGCTGAAATCGCTTTAATTATCAATGCAAGTCGTGGAAGTTCTTGAGGGCTGTCAGTCTGGATCAAATATTATTAAATTAATGACCAATCTTGAAAGTGGACGTTCCCCGAAGAGAGCTCTAACTGTTTACAAAATCTTAGTCCGATGAAAAAGTGAATATGCTCACTCCATACTACTTTTCGGTCTACATAGTCAAAAAACATACTTCTAAGGCGACGCGCAAGCCTCTTCACCTCGACCTCCTCCTTCCTCATTTTAAGATCCATCACGTGCGAATTATTTGTTTCTGAAAAAGATCATCTTCTAGCGGCAAAGAAACTAATGAGAGCAATGATTTTTAGATATTCATGGCGGCCCCTAGGTATACTAAGATCTCCAGCAACTACACAATTTCCTTTCAAAATTTCTGTCACATTTTCAATAAAATTAATTCTATTCCAGTCTACAACTCTACTCATTGGAAGTGCAAAATTAACATAAATCTCTTTATGTCTACCGTTAGATCTAACAGTTATTTTCCACAATCAAGGCTAGGCACTGTATGTCAGCAGAAGCTAAAATCTCATCTAACAATGATTTTACAATCTATGCGGTTGACGGTTCGCCCCTTTCATAAGATTTATCCCTTCATGGCATGTGGGAAATTAAGATAATCAACAGACTCATAAGTAATCACACCTACGACTATGTTTACTTAAAAATAATGCGAGCAATCTCATCTGATACTTGTGAAGAGTACGACGCGGCAGAATCGACCGAGCATTTTAATATTTTCAACATATATAAGAGCCTTTATGGAGTCTTTCATGCTTGCAAAAGAATTTGAAAATTATCTAAACTTTTCAAAGGACACGTCGCTTTTATTTTGAAAATAGAGAAAATCAGCCGCGCCCATTCCATATTAGTTCTTTTACTTTTTTTGACTGTTTTTTAGGATAACGGTTTTAAGTTTAAAAGATTCGGTCACCACCGAATATAATACATCTTATTTGAACCATACGATTTGCCAATTCCCATAAGGCCTCTTAAGAAGTTCATTTTCCATCACGAAAAACTTAACCACACTTCATTATCAACGATATGCTAATCTTTATCTTCTTTAAGATTTTTTCTTTAAATGGAAAACATTTTTCATTTAAAGTTTTTATTACTTTTCAAATAATTGTAAGACTTAATTATATAACGTAGTATACATAAATTTATAAAACTAAAAATAAACCGACACACACTTTATACGAGCATAACTTTAAAACTTTACATGCTAGCCGTTTAGGAAACATATATATATATATACATATATATATATATATCAAAAATCAGTCCAATGTTATAGCTAATAAGGCATCTTCCGGATGTACTTCCAGTAGAACTTTCGAACCATCATTGAATGAGTAACAAATGCTACCATCAATTACTAGATCTGCAAGTAAGAATAACAGGCATGAACATTTCAAAATTCTCAAATCAAGTTTGAAATAAAAATATTATGAGAATATTGGATATTTTAAATTAATTTTTTATCCACATCATCAAATAAAGGGGGCAAAGAAGTTATGTTTTCCATCTCTGCCACTCTGTTGGACCTCGAAATATGCAAAGGACGAGAAAGTTGTTCAAATTCGTAAGTACGCCTATTAGCTTTATATGTAAAATACTTGGAAATGTTTATGTGTTTATGTGTTCGCACGATGTATTTCGAAACCAATATAGCTATCATTTAAATAAAAACTGAGAGAGAGAGAGAGAGAGAGAGAGAGATTCAAATCTCAACTGGCTGAACGAACGAAAATTCAATCAACTTATATTAACTGTACACAATACGTCAAGTGTCGAACTCGAAAAAAATATCATCTGATGTCATCATGTTCGTTCAAAAATTTCTTACTTCAATAATATATTTGAAGAGTGATTTGTTTGTCAATTGCTTTGCATATATTTAACCAAATCAATCTGATGATGACTTGGAAAATACGTTGGAAGAAATGCAAAAATTTTTTTATAGTAATTTGAATGATTTAAATGAAATACGTGCGTGCATATATATGAAGAGGGTTTGTTTACTTTCAGAGTTCCAGTCTAATATTTGAATATCGAATGTGTATTGTGAAACTTTTGATTTATAATTTTCTTATAGTTTTAATAGTAGCGAATCAAGATTCAGGATGTGTTTATCTGATTAAAAGTAAATAAATAAAATAAAGCGAAAGTAAGGGTTTTCTAACGATTCCATTTCACCGCAGATTCTGAAATGGGCCATAATCTCGACTCTCAATTAACGGATCCGGTTGTTTTACCAAAATTTGGTTTCGGTTTTCGTATGATAACCGTCGCAGTGAATATGCTAGCGGTATTAACATTTATCCAACCGAATCGGGATCGTCGCAAATATCTCTTCCCATGCATATTGTGGAATTTCTATATGTTAACAGCAATAGCTGAAAATATTTTAGAAATTGCTTGGTCCATGCTTAAAATGGATATACCGTTTACCGTATTTGCTACAATTAATATCGTTGGCGTGTTTATGTTGGCCTTTCAAAGTAAATTGACCATGCAAATGTTACGTTTTTACGAATATTTAAATTACATGCCTAACGGTTATGCACCATTTGTTTAAAAGCTTTCCCTTTTTTTTTTTTTTTTTTTTTTTTTTGTATTTGAAATGATTATTAAAACTTACTTGCATCGAAGCAACAGGATTTTACGTATAAATTGGTTACAAATTGACGTGGCTCGAACTCTTCAGGAGAAGGCCAAACACCAACATTAATTTGTTCACGTATCGAATAACAAATGCGGGGATCGTCTTTGTTGAAGTAAATAAAAAATAAAATTTGCACTTAGGCCGATCAAGTAAAGTGACTCGAGGAAATATCTCACCTGCAGGAAATATTAAACTTTCATTATATTTTCGCACTAATTCATCTTTATCTAGGCCATTAAAATCGTTGCGAACTTTCTCTGGAAGTATTTTAGACAAACCATCCACAGAAGGCCGGGTAATGCGATTAATACTGAATGAAATATGAAGCAAAGACAGCAAGATAAATTTATCCTAATCGTGATCCTTTTTTAAGGTTTTTTTTACCTGGAATGCCAAGACGTTGATCCCGTCCCAGTACTTACACATAATCCGGAACTTTTCGTTTTATATAACACATTTCCATGATCTAATGTCAGTTGCAAGTGCGTTACACGTGAGGACAAAGTTTCCCCTATAAATACCTCATTCAATGCCAAATAAGGTAAAACTCTTTTCACTTTTGCGTCATACTTTTTGGCTAACTCTTTATCAAGTGTTTCAGGCCGAGTCGTTTTTTGTTCCATTTTAGATATGCAATGTCTGTATAGATCATAACTTTGCGGTATTTTACCATTGATTCCCAGTATTGTGCTGCGTATACGTGTTCGATGCATCCATTTGAAATCGCCCTACCAAAAATTGAATTGGAGAATTCTAAAGAAATTGTTTTATGTGTACATATTTTTTTTTTTCATATGGCTTACCGCTTTTATTTTCGCTACCGCTTCTGCTGGATAATCTGAATAGTGTTTGGGCAATAGGAGTCTGCCAGCTGATCGTTGAGGATCCGAATTGAAACCTACTATGGGTATTTTGGTATGGGATTGCGCAAACAATGGGCTAGCTCGTCCGGCCGCCAATAGGAATGTACCGTCCCCACCAATGGGCACAATGACATCCGCCCAATTCATAACCTCTTTGCTTAGCGAACTTCTAAATTCGGCTCTGATTAGGTTTTTGCAGTTATTTTTAATTTTTTTTTTTTTTTTTTTTTTGCGTTCAACACGTAACCAATCGATTTGAGTGATGATGGTGGTGAGGTGTGGGTGTGTATGATGAGCAAAATAGAAATTATTATTAATGGAATTAGTATCGAATGCAAGGACATACATGTAACAAATTCACAAATGCTTAATAAATGTGTAAATACGTAGCTATGTATATATGAAAACATCAAATTATAAAAATGTTTAACTTTTTCTCGCCCTTTCTCTCTCTCACACTTACTCACTCTCACTCTCACTCTCTCTCTCTCTCTCTCTCTCTCACACACACTCACACACACACGCTTTCTCTCATACTTTCTCTCTGTCTTTCTTTCTCTCTCTCTCTCTCTCTCTCTCTCTCTCTCTCTCTCTCTCTTGTCCTATACCCAAAGTTGAAAGAACTCACCTACTTGTCATCTTCACTTCACAGCCAGCATCCTGGAAGCATTTCACTATATTATCTTCAAATGATTTATGCAATTTATGATGATAGATCCAAGCATCTAGATCGGTGCCACGTTTACGCATCATTTGATGGAATTGTTCCTCATTAAGTTCAGGATAACGTGACTGTTCAAATTCATAGCGTGAAAGTTTTGTAATGATTAACGCTCGTCGCAATTTAAATTTGCTTGGTTCAAGGCTAACGGTAGGTGCAACTATTATTCCACTTGATCTCCGTATCGAAAGCAATTCTTTGCGACAAAAAATATAACATAAGCACATAGCATATAAGCAGATAATCGAGAGGTCATTTTAATCATGTAAATACAAGCTAATGGCAACACAAAAACGTTAACCACATCATTACGCTCCATTTAAATTGTATTGTAGTCGCGTGCACTACATACCCACACGTACATATGTATATAAATTTGCAAAAAAATTCCACTCCTTTTCTATAGAATGGAAAATTGTTATCATACACACATGTTAGTAAGCGTGCGTAGTTCTATAAATAAATGGGAAACATGTGCCCAAATCAAAGCAAAACAAACCAATTTTTTCATGTAAACAAAAGAAGAGAAAGAAGAAGAAGAAGAAGGGTGAAGTAATATGAATTTTTTTAATATTTAAAATTACACATTATCTATATCACATCACTCAATAAGTCTCTGGTGTGACAAATATATATGGCAATACTTTTGAGAAGCCCATATGAGTTGTGAATGGTACCGATCTTCAAGCGATTAGTGCTAAAACTTCGGTCATCAGTTTACAAGTTACAATTGTTTTGCTGATACTCGCTTTTTAGTGGCGTCTTTGATCGTCGTTCACCGATTGCTGTCCACTCGGCTGAATGCCGATTTGACTGTGGGTCTTTTAATGAACTCTGCCTCTTCTTTCAAAACAACGCTCTAAGTTATCTACGTGTTATTGCCACACGTGAGCAAAAGGAGAATCCACTTCGAACAAAGCTTGCTCGTGGACTAAAGGAAAACAGTAAATATACTTTCTTTTGATGTCTTTAAGGCGTCAGCTGTCTTATGCAACTTCACTTTTTGTCCTCTTAAAATGATTTTTTGCTTTTTCTATGTTTTTTTGGGAACAGCCACAGAATCAAGACGACCCGGACGTTCAGCGTTATCGGTGTTCATACGATTGCGTTCAAACTTAGCGAACCACCCACAAATTTATTTTTTCGTCTTACAAGAGTCGATGCTGATTGTGAACGTTTTATTCTTTTTTTTCATCAAAAAGCAACAAAGCAAAGCAAACAAAGTACAAAGTTTCCCATTGTTTTGAAAATTATAAAAGCTGAATCACTACAGCGACTGTTATTTGTAAACTAACTGCCAATATGTCATGAAATTTTGACACGTATCGTTTGAAGGTTACTACTGCTCAAAATCTATATGGGTCTGTCAACAGTGGTGCTTTGTGTTCATTTGTGTCAGACTAGAGACTTATTGAGCGATGTCTCACAAAAGCTCTGACGCCTTTTGTAAAAGCATGTCAGTAATTTTTCTTTTATTTCCTTCTCTGCGCATATGATTCATTCTTTCCAACTTTTCTGGTGAGAGCATGTTACTCCGAGGATTTTCAAAATTGCTTGCCGTAAAGTAACGAGAATTTTGAAATATTTTTTATTTAGATGTTAACAGTGATTACATCCGCTTTTACCCTACACACACGCATTTACCAGCGCCAGGCTGTGGCTTAAGAAAGATGCATTAAGCCGATACCTGATTTCGGTTCTATTTCATTATTATTGCGTGAAAACGTTGCTGAAGAAAAAAAATATTACTATAATGTTCACTTCGGTGGGGCTTTAACGGCATTTTCAGAATAAAGATTCGCTTCGAATATCACGCATTGAGTCAGTGATGAACCTGCAGGCAAACTTCAAACTCGCCTCGTCTTCAGCGTCTTTTTGGCAGCGTTGACAGAGTGTATAGCTTATGCAGCCATCGCTGCGCAAGTGAACTTTATTGCTGGTCTTCGTGGTAGTATTGTCATTATTTATAATCTATTGTTCTTAATTCGTCTCTATGTTAGGGCCCGGTTGCTAAAGCCTCTTCTCATCTTCTGTCTAACGTCATTTATGGTCTTGTGTTTCTTCGCTGGCCGGCACAGAAGTATTCGCGGATTTTATCATCATTGGGCAAACTTACGGTTCATTTCATAACTTTCTAGAGGCATTTATACCACCGATAATCTGAAACTTCTCTAGCAACCTATATAATGGTGATTCCTCATGTTGTATTTTCCAAAAATTCTCAGAATATCCCAGAGTAGGCTTAATCAGTTTGCGTCCGCCTACGAACCGAGTGTTGGATTTGGACGAAAATTGTTCTATAAATTTTCTGTACACGACCAATTGCAAAAGCTCATACAGGAGATAAAAATGAGACTGACAACATATCCGTAAATTGAAAATTCTTGTTGATTATTGATCAAAGCAGAAAGAGCCATAGGTCTCGTCGGGATTGAAACACATAATATGCTCCCTATACTCCCGAAAAGGATGGACAAAATTGCTGACTCCTGTTGAAATGTCGAAAAAGCACTTTTCGGCAAATGATTTGACCCGATTGTCAAGCGCATGTGCGGCAATTGTGAAGAGCGAAGAAGCAACAAAGCATTTTTCGAAATGAACAAGGACAGAGGGAGATTGAAATGAACAGCATTGGCTCCGCGTTTTTAAATATGTGACCTCCATGGACGTCCACACAAAGTGCAAAAAACCATCGTACGAGGCACTAGATGGACTGCCAACATGCCTATTGCTACCTAGTCTTCTTAATATTACGCTGAACGTGTCACAATTACGCATACTCTATGAGACTAATTATCTTAAAAGTTAATCGATTTTGCCCTTCAGTCTACAAAACGAAGTCATTTGTAATTAAATTTATAATCAATCATAAATTTTTGTAGTGGATTTCAAATGAAATCTTCATGGAATATTTTTTGGGCATTTTGTCAAATTAAAGAAGTGTGAAAATGGGTCGTGGGTGATTCGCTGTCAAACCAATATAAGTTCTTTCGACATGATATCGTCTTGTTGCCAAAAGTATTGTAAAGTGTTGTAGAAAATGATGGAAACTATTTTGATTAATATATTATATTGTACCAATTTTCCACTCCTTTTTCAAGTGAAAAGGTGATCAAAATTTATGCAAGCACCTAATCGAAGTTCATCCATTTCTGTTCTTTAAATTATTTCAATGAATTTTTTAATTTCTCTTTACTCGCTTCACACATCCCCTTGACCTCTCTGTTGTTACATTTCTCCCATCGGAAGACAATAATCTTTGTTATGTTCCTCATCTCAAGTAAAGGAAAAATTCTTATAAATTTACTCATGTTTTTCTTTATCAAAAGATTGCTTATGCGATTTGTCAGAAGACCATGTTTCAGACTTTGGGTAAAAAAACTCGTTAAGATCGATTGTAAGATTCTGCTCATCCTTTGGAAACTGGTGCTGGTGTATTTACTGCTCCATAATCATTTGTTAGAACATAACCTCAAAATGAACCAACAAAAAATTTCGTCCATTTGTGAAAGAAAACAACTTTTTCTAAGTTTCGCCGTAAAAAGTATTATATCTATATTTATACTCTACACCACTTGTAGTACAGGGTATATTATATTAGTGCGGACGTATGTAACACGCACAAGAATAGATCCACCTTTCATTATACCTATCAATTCGGACCCATAATCTGAATTGATCTAAGCCTGTCAGTTCGTCCATCCGTCTGTCCATCTAAATTTGTGTTCAACCTACAGATCGCAGTTTTTGAGACATTTAGATGAAACTTGGTACAGTGACGTACGATGGCCCAAAGCAGAATGCTATTGAAAATGGTGTGGTCCACTTGTTTCACCACTCCCCATATAAAGTCCTATTTTGAAAAGTCGTTGTTTTATGGAAAAGATTGCAATTTCCAAAATTACTCAGTAAAATTAAGTAAGTAGTAGTAGTAGTTGGCATTCTAAATTGGTATAAAAACTTTAGACCGGATGAGGCAATTTTTGAACCCCCTCTCACATAAAATGAAAACTGAACAATGCTTCTTGATGAAAATCAGATCATAATATTAATATAACATAAAAAAATTAATTCCACCATCTCGGTCTATTTTTTGGATCCTATCGTACTAAGGAGTTTCCCGAAAATTGTTCATTTTTAGAGCAGAAAAGTCCAGGTTTTACTATGGGGTCATGAAAATTGATTCATAATAGTAATTTCATGGAAAAATCAGAATTATGTTAGACAATGTGGTGTACGGTATTTAATTGTCGACCTTACTCGAAGAAAAGGTTTTTACTTATTTTAAGATTTTTATGTGTATATTACTTCCTCTTTTAGGCGATTTATTTATTTAACAAAAAAAGTGACTATAGCGCCAATCAAAGTTGTGGGTAAACAAATACAATTTCAATTTAGATAAAAAAGAAAGATGTTTATATATATTTTTCACATGAAACTCACTTTTTTTTACACGGTGCACTAGTTTCGCTATCCCATTTGCAACATTCAGGTCTATTTGGATTAACTGACTTACGCTCGAGCAAGTGAGCCAGCGTTGTGGTGGGGGAGGGGAGAGGGGTCAAAAATTGAAGCCTGTGTTTCAAATGTACGCTTTAAAATAAACACCCTAGAGACCTATTTTCATATAGGCTATGGCTATGAAAAATTGATATCAAATTCGAAAAATTCGGAATAAATCAACAATTGAAATGGTTTTACTAACTATCCCCTTAAGTAATGTTTTCGTATTAGATAAGCAACTTAGTTTTTGGAATTAGGTGAAAAACAGATAGAGGTGAATCTTTCTTTCTTGCTTTTCTTTTCCTCTTCTTGTTTGGTTTGTTTTTTGTAATTAAAAACAAGTAAAAGTTTTTTTTTAATTTTAATTTTTTTTTTTCTAAGCAATAAAGTGCAAACGATAACGCAATGCAAACACTTACTTACTCACTCACTAGTTTCTCGTAAAGTATTTGATTACAATGAAACTCATATTGATGAACATTGTAAAATTTAAAAACAATTTTATCTAGGATTTCTATATTGATTCAAAAGTTCTTTTCGTATACGAAAAAAAAAAATTCAAATTTCCAATAGAATGGAAAGAAGTCATCTTCCCCAGTCGGAATTGTGGACGAATTTTCACAATAAATTACATACTTTGTGGCTGCATTAACTTTTCCTATGATCATCCCGAAATCAATGGCAGAACTGATGCAGCTCAATATGGTTACTAGGCTCAGTATTTAATTTTCTTTTCTACGATAGAGCTGATAGCCTGCACTGCCAGTGGTCAATGCTTTCTTTTTAGTCTAAGAAATTTCTTTCAATTAATTAAGGTTAAATCTGAATGAATATGAGCGACACCGTGACCTGATGGATTAAGTTTTTCTTAATAATACCCGCGCTATGGGTATCAAATGAAGTAACTTGGAGATTGAAATACGAAAAGCATAATGGCTGGCTATGCGAGAATCGGCCTCTGCCTAACGTTCTTGCTGGTCTACATTTTCAGTAGGGACAAATGCCTGATAGAGCCCTTGTAAATCCCGCAACTTGCAGTGGTAAAGTAACAAAAACCAAATGAGTCGAGCCTTGTTCGTGTACTACGACGAAGTGAAGGAAAAGAAAGAAATAGAGAAATGGCCGTACAATCGGTAAGTGTTGTGCCCTCAGCGACCGACTAAGCATTCACTATAACTACGATTACAAAAGTAAACTCTTAGCCATAATTAGATTTCAAATCGCGAACACAGACTTAGTAGTCGAGATTCTTGTTTACTCGCTTACTCGCTCCGAGATTGATCTTTTCAGAAATAAATAGACTGATATAGGCAAGCAAATTCAAGAGCACATATATAAACATATATAAACTTTATATTAAAAGAAAAAATTTTTCTCAAGATTTCCTCTTGATCCGTAACACACGAGCCGACCCTTAAGATATCGAATCATCCAGTTTACAGCTGTGCAGAAAAGCTTATAATAAAACAAATTTTGTATGACTATCCATGCCTCTCCCCATGTTCGGACAAACATATTCGACTTAGCTAATGCAATGGACATCGTAAAGTTGTCTATCATTCTTGTTTGCAGTTAGATCAAAGTAACTAGATTAAGTCATTCTTGTTGTTATTGTTGTTTTTATTTTGCCAAAAATAAACTTGATAGTCTGCATAGCTAACGCTCGTTATCTTTTCTTTCTTGCGTTGAGTTTAACGATTCATTACGTCAGAGTGAATAAATTAAAATAATAACAGTCATCGTCTACGTATCATAAATAATCGATCCATTGATTTTAGTTGTTTAATATTATATGTAGAGGACACGCTTACAAACGGAATAACCCACCCAAGCTTCAATAGCTCGCTTGTTTATTTCATTAACTATATATAATTCGAAAAGACCCTAACCTTAGTTTATTATTTATTATTATTATTAAAAAAAAACTCAAAGTAAATGAAATTTTTTGCATTCGCTCTCCCTAAGAGTAAATTGTGCGTTTTATGAATAAGTTCCCATCATATAAATATAATAAAACACAATTTTTTGTTTACAATCAAAGAGCTGATAACAATTACATTAGACATGATTTTTGAACAATCATGACGAACGATTTTAATGAAAGGACGCGAGCATATCAAAATTATAATAAAACATTTTTAGATTCTTTGAAATGCTCCGGAATTCAAATTAATGTAAAACTTAATATTTAGAATTTCCAAAAAGATTTGGCGAAGTTTTTTCAAAAATTTGCAATCCAAGACGTATAATTTCTTAGTGAATGCTAAGTAATGACATGAACTTAAATATTTTTTTAATTTTTTTTTATTGACGGCGAGCCGCATAATATGAGTGATAATGTTTATATTAAAGTCCCGTCCGTACGTGATGTATTATTACGAAAGCTGATTAGAAAATCAAAAAATTTGGAATTTTAATACATTTTACAATTTATTTGTATAACTTGTGCGGTATATTAGGTTAACGCGGAAAAATAATTCAGCTAGATCAGCTAAATCAATTTAGAATCACACGACTGTCGGTACAGTGATATATGTAACGCCCAGAAGGACTTAATATGGAGCCACCTCTCGTCATATTGATCGGCTGAGAATCAGTTTGCGAAGAGATTTAACCTTGACTGTTTGTCTATCCCCTACGTATGGGCTCTGTGTTTGCAAAACTTTTGATCAGCAACTTCTACAAGTAAAAACGACAAACAAATAGAAAATACATAACGGTTGAATTCGTTGATTTGGCCTTCCTCTACATAATATAACAAGTGTACAGCGTACGCCGACGCTAATTATGGAATGCTCAAAATTCTCTTTCTTTCAAATGAATTACTTTTGTTGCTTATTTGAAGAGAACTGCTGCCATAGCCCGCTAAACACTTTCACGGGCCCATGGTGATGCTGCTCCATAATATTCCAATTACTTCTTTGGTTTCAACGGTTTAAAACTGGCGACACGGATTGACTGAAAATGTCATTTTTGGCCACTTGTTGCAATAGTTGTCCAGGATACAATGTTGCAACTCGAAAGGGAAGTTCTGCCGCACGTAGCGTACTCATCAGCCATGGCGTCTTCTGATTGATGTCTGTTCAGAGGAACGCAGTATTTTCTGGCTGGCATGAGGATCCGCAAAATTAAAGAAGTGTGAAAATCGATCGGCTTTCATTAATATACATTGTATAAATATTTCTCAATAAATGCCTTTTCAAGTGAAAAAACGACCAAAATTTTTTACAATAATCAGAATCCATTTGAACCAAAAATTGTGCTAAAGTGTCAGGCTGTCTAAACAGTTTTCTCTAGTCCTCAAGTGTTAAAAGAATATTAATTTTAAAAAATTTTTGTTAAAAGTCCAAAAAGAAATAATGCCAAAAAATCTAGCTCCATCTATAAATTAGTTCGTTTGAATTTGAGCCTTGTTTTCGATGTTTCACCACCCACGAACAAGATTTCGTGTCCAAAATTGTCGAAATGCTAAAGAAGGCCAACAAGAAGGCGCATCTCTAAAAGACAAAACTAACTGCGTCATCAAGCATTCTCCTTGGTATTTTAACAAAGCCTAGCCTTGTCCTTTAACTTTTTGAGAAGAAAGACAATTCCCAATTTTATTACCGAAGAGTTTTTGGTTTTGACTAATTTCGTAAATTGCAAGCCTTTAGAAGACGTTTTGAAAACTTGATACCTTGCGATTCGGAAAAGAAACTTAAGGCGATCTCAGACACTGCCAATAAGGGCCTATTCTGAAAGCGATTAACTAAAAAATTCATTCTAATTTTACAAATTCATAAAATATTTTTTACTGGAATATCTGCGCACTTGTGATGTTCAGTATAAAAATTTACTCCAAATGAATAAAATGCCAACATACTCTCCCTATAAATATGAAAATATGAAAACTTTTTTTCTTTCTAATTTGAGTGGTTTCGTTTTGTTTTTTTTTTTTTTTTTTCTATAATTAAAATTATACAATATATTTTTATATACAGAAATACACAAATATCAATATTGTCTTGACCATTGAAAAATCATTTCATTTTTTTTTCTAAGAAAAATTACTTACCTTTAGCAATAAGTTGCAAGAAATTCTTTGTTTTAAACATGTTTTTCTCTGTTTTCATGTGAAAGTGCGTAGAAAAATCACCATTAATATTAGACTTCTTAATTTACAATTAGAATCACGTTAGAAAAAACATGTATATTAAAATATCATTAAGGTAAATGCAAATGCGAATATTTTCATAGAACACATAGACCGGTGTATTTGTTTACTTATATATAAGCAAATGCATATAATAAAAAATATTCTTTCTGTTTTTCTTTTCAAAGTTTTTACACTAAGATTTCTCAAAATAATAAATGCCATGCACGGCTACCGGACTGCAACTATTTCATGAGCTTGAATTTTCCAAAACTTTGCATATATTCTTCAGTACAAACGTAGCTCTTAATTCTCTATATGATTACTATTATTAAGGCTTCTTATCAAAGTTTTTACATTTTCCTTTATGTCTAATTTATTGTTTCTTACTGTCTTAAAAAAAAAAATTCTTTTGTCATCATTCTTCTGTTTTGTATACATTCTTTAACAGCTGTTTTATACGAGCGAAAAGGAAAGCAGTATGAACAAAGATCATCTAATATTGCAAGTTTGAACGTTTTGATTGAACAATGTATTTATAAAGAAATTAAATTCATCTTACCACAATTTATTCGATCTATATGTTTTTGTATAATATATAATTTAACATAAATTAAAAATACAATTTTTATGCCTCACATAGATGTCATAGAATAGAATCAGACACAACTAAAATGACAAGATGGTCCAAGATTTTACCCAAAATTCAAACAAAGAGATTCAACTTTTTTTTAAAGAATAGTGAAGGGACTCAAATCTTGAGTCAGTTAAGGTTGAAATAAATTCCTCTTTAAAAGAAAATGGATTATTTGAGCTAATTAAATAATTATTTCAGCTAATATATATATAATTTTTTTATAACCTTCACTTTGTCAATGGCCCAGAAGCCGGGGTTCTTAAGTAGGCCTACGGGACGGCTGAATATGTATTTTAAGAAAATTTCATTCCAATCTCGACCCTAAATTGAGCTTTATTTGTGTTTATATATTGAACTTGTTCGGAAGCCACCTTGAAAATCACTTTTCAAAAACTATCTAATATAGCATATTTCCATTCCAGTTGCTCTCCCCTTTGGACGTTTCAACAAAACAGTAATAGTAAGCAAATATTTTTGATCTCGTCCCTTGACTCCTTAAAAAGGTGCAGACTTCCATAAGCACACCTGGCAAATTAGCGTTTAACCATAGCAAGAATAATTTTAAAGACGTTCGATAGTTTTTACCACCAAATATCTGTTAAACAAAAAAACCAAAATAAAACTTAAAAAAGAACAAGGAAAAATGAGAAGAATGAAGAAAACATTGCCAGAATTGAGCAGTCTTTAAATAGCAACAATAAAAGGTGAATAGTTTCGGGTAAGATAAAAAGAAGTTTCAGGCAATTGGACAAAGCAAACTAAATGAATTGAGAAAGCTTTTGCTATTCTCGTTATTTCATTTAAAGAATCGACGATAAATAGATATTTGAAAAACATTTTTTTCAAGAATTATTGTGAAAGTAATAATGAGAAGGAACGGGAATGCAAACAGAGATTAGATATATTAGGAAGCTCATTAAAACCGCAGTATTCCAAATTATTATTCATTTAGTCGAAAAATAAATTCAAAGACAAGACTTACAGCACTATCATCTAAGGCTGTTGGCTTTACAAAAGAATTATTATTATGTCATAAATATCTTTACAATTCGAATATTGAATCTTTAATAAAAAATTTAATAAAAGGACTCTAGCTTTATTAAATGAAATTTTACTTGAATTAATTAGAGGTTTCCAAATTTCTTTTAATCATTCTCCTATATTGTTTATGTTTGACATTTTTTCTTAAGGTTTTTTCAAATTTGGCAATCGGAACAGCAGTAAGAAATCTAGACCTAGACGACGTAATCAAAGAGTGATAACGAAAAAAAAGTGAGAAAGCTATTGTTACTTTGGTTTGAAACTAAGGTCCATTTTTATTTTAGTAAAAACATTCCTATGAAAATTGACAATCTAAGTTATTACAATAACGCCTCAGTATCAAGATTTAGACTTTTTAGTAATTTGACAAAGCCGGAAACAGCAGTTACAGATTTGTGGAATAATAAAATCAACGTCAATAGCAAACTTGTCGATTTTTTAGGTTTTCAATCTAGTATGGTACCGACTTTTGCAAGTCGACTATTGGAATTAATTCAGAATTCGGAAGAGAGTTGCGCTCATTAGCCTTGCTATGATATGAAGATTCGAAAGAATAGAAGATGACATTCAGGCCACATCACCATGCCAGTATATTCAAAAATTCACCATTTACTCGCAGAAAAAGCCTTCGCAATATAATACACCAGGTGAAACGCTTTTTGTAAAAGATGGTGTTGGTATCAACAACTGTAAAATTACACCCAACTGCAGTGGAGCGTCTTTAGATTACCGCTTCGCCTAAGAAAAATACTGCCGGTAATTCAACTAGGTTTAAGAAAAAAATTGAAATTTGGAATAAACCTTAAGTGTAAACAAAATCACAATACACCTAATGAATTAGTTTTTTTTTTTTAATTTTATTTTTGGATTTTGCTGAGTAAACATACAGGTTGGAAAAAGAAGAAAAGGACTTATATAAATACATTCAGTTTCATTTTTGTATGTCAGTGTTTGTTTCCGGAAATTTTCATTACAAGTCGAAATCTTAAGGCCAGATCAAAAGATGCTACACGAGCAGATGTGTAAGTATTTGAAAAACTGGATTTTTAAATTCAAAAAAAGTACCTTTCACCAAATGTACAGTTTAAAAAACAGCAAAATTTTACCTACAGTACGCCAGTCTCAGTCATTTGTGATATAGTTGCTAATATAAGCGCTAATTATCGCCCTTATCACATCGCGAAGGGTAGGCATTGAAATGTTGTAGTTGTCCGTCCTGTTTTGGTTTAATAATTTTTGTAGTTTTGGGGTAGTCGAAAACATCGTGTTGAGAGATTTTACATAAGTAGCTGTGGCATCCCCGCTTTTACATGACTTCACTTTGTCCAAGCCCAGCACGTGAAGGACTCACTTTAAAACAAACTGGATTGATTTTTGAATGAATTTGCGAGACGACATGAACATGTATACGAATGAAATTTTGAAGATGTATTTCGATTTCTTTTCGTTTATAAAGTTGTCTGTTTATTGGAAACAAAATGAAACCACATCCACTCCGCGGACTGAACGGCGAAGTGATCAACAATTTCTTTATTACGTTTTTATCGCGGTTTTTACCAGGAGTCTATTTTTTTCGAGAAAAAAAAAACGTAATATTAATAATATATAATATATGCATATACACGTGCGCATATGTCCCGATCTTTATGAGAATTGTATGGGCTCATTTTACTAACCTACCTCATTTTTCGGTGAACAATCCAAAATTACTATAAAAGAGCCATTGATATGCTACAAATGTTCGGGTTAGAAATTTGAATTTCTTTTGATTTTCTTCTTGTTTTCTTTCTCCCTTTACATTTTTTTAACATCTCCTTTTTACAAATGTAAAAAATATAAAAAGGATCAGAACCAGACATGAACGAACACAAAATATAAAAGCAATTGGATGTCCGTTTTAACAGAGATATCCCATGAAAAGAAATTTCTTCGCATAAAATCAGATTTGGATTTTTTTTCGACATTTTTAATGGCTGGAATCTGATTTGCATCAGATATTTCTGTATGGCAATACCTTTATATTAAATTGTTAAACATTGTATCTAATAATCCTTACACATGTATAGAGACGATAGAATGACAATTAAGTCGACACAAGTATTTCTGGCAGTCGGAACACTACAAATTTGGTTTATGTAATTTCTACGTTCGTTAAATATAAATATGTTAAAAATAAATCGAAATGGCTGCAGTGAATGAGAAGGATGCAGACCCATTCACTTTACACATTTAATGGAATTTTCTCCAACAAACGAAGAGGACAATATTTGCCAGCAAGACAATGTGAAGAAAGCTATGCTAGTTGTATCTATTGGAAGTGGTGCTTATTCTATACTACGCAGTTTGTGCAGTCCACAACTCCCTGTTAGCAAGTAATACAAGGAACTACAATAGCTCCAAGCGAAACTGGTACACCCAGCGAAAATATTTGTTTTATGTAACATATTTAAAACTAGATGTACTACAAAAACGAACCCACTGAATTTTTTTATAGTACCAGGTACTACATTAAATGTTTATTAAAATAAAGATAAACAATCGAATTTCAACGTAAAAGCCAAACTCGTGCAATTTTGATTTATTCGTCAAAATTTAAGGTATTTTTGTGTAAGTCGCTAAAATTATATTTCTTTGCAAAATTTCTAAATATTATTTGTTTGATTATGTCACTTGTTAAAAAAGACTAATGAACAACAAAATGGGGAACAAAAACGACAAACCAGTGTCGAAATAAACGAATTAATAATTCAACATCATAAAAATAAATCGCTTCAAGAATAGATCCAAGCCGCTCAACCGCCGATAGCGATACTAGACTGCAAAATGATTAAAAATAAATCAAAAGTGCCTAGTAACAAATTTTCTCCGTGAATCATGGCTAATATATTGTATAAGAAGGCAAAGGCATCCAATTTTAAGTGCGCCGAAAATAGCGGAAATTGGCGAAAGGAATTTAGGGAAAAAGTGCTGCTCACAAACAAGAAGAGACATATTGAATAAGGCATAAACCACTTCTCAACAAAAGAAAGAAGATATATATACTGTGGTGTCGACAAAATTTCAAAATGATTTTCCGTTTTTTATTCTTTTTTACTTTTCTCCAATTTTTTTTTTTTGTTTTTTCTTTTTTTTTGGTTTATTAAGAACGTTTGGAGGCGTCTTTCTTTCTAAAATTCTTATTCAGTAAATTCAGGCTCTTGAAAATTTTTTAGTCCGTTCGAATTATTTGACGAATCTTTTCTCAAGTTTTTGATTTTATTGACTTATTAATTTTGTAATACTTACTGGTGATGAAATTTGACTTTTCCTTTCTCGTTGAATTTTATGCTGAAGTGCTTGAAGTGCTCCCTGTTCAAAGGCAAAGCACAGAGTCGCTTGTAATAAATAAGAAAAATAATCAAAAAATGGCAGTTCTGTTAAATGGTTAAATGGTTAAAGTTAAATGGTAACGCCACTGTGTTATCTAACGGACCAAATTATCTAACAAACCAAATTAACAAAAGCCGTCGGCAAAACAAAAACTTAACATTATCTAACGAACCAAATTATCAACACTAACTGGCGACCAACCAGAGCCCGATTAATAATGCAACTCTTACTCGATTTTTTACTTTCCATTTTATTTTACCTTTTATTGTTTTAGCTATAACAATAATTCATTTAATATTTTTACATGAAACTGGGTCTAATAATCGTTAAATTCAAATGTTGATAAAATGCCGTTCCATCCTTATTTCACATATAAAGATATTGTTGGATTTATTATAATATTAATAATTTTAATAATACCAATATGCTACGTGCTTACACATACATACATATAATATTTTTTCTTATAATATGATATAGGGAGGCAGGCAATTTTGTAGGGCCAACTAGTTGATTACTTAGCTTATGGGAATATATAAGCGCAGCTGCGTTCATAAGCGAAGCTTTAACACATTAAATTTGTAAATTTTATATATTTTACAAATTTTTATATGTTATATATATATATATATTTGTTTGTTTGTAAATACTGTAAATAAACATTTATAAAGTATATTTATGAAAAAATATTAATTTGAATGCTTCCCCCACAATTTATAAATTTTATATATATAACAAATTTATGTGTAAAATATATAAATATATATATAAACACATATAATATGTACATTATCTCCCATTTTGTGAAAAAATTTATAACTTAAATGCCTCTCTCAGCCGTGGGAATATGGGAGAAACTTCATTGTGTCGGCTTCCTAACGCCCCTATATTTTTGCAGGAACGAATAATTTTGCGGGATCTCTTTCATTTGCAAAACCCTAATAAGGAAAAGAGTATGGTATTTGTGTGTTTAAAAGAAACGTAAGTATTTAACTTGGCAACTAATACAGCTTCCGCTATTTCAATTGCTCGAGTAATTTCAACGTGTATGGTCGGTTAGTAGATGTGTGCTTGCATTTGCTATGTTTACTCTGCCGCACATGGAATTTTGTTTCTAAATTTAACATTAATGAAATGTTATATTCTCTAATAAAGAGGTAAGAGCATTATTTATAACGAAATGTGCGAAAATTATACTTTTGTTAAATGTTTTTTAATAATTTAACTAAAGACAAACATTTCGCTAGATTAAAAAATAAGCTAAAGTTTGAGGGATATTTTTATATTCAAAATGATTTAAAAAGTGTCCCATAGGTTCTAGCCACAAATACCATTGACAATTCTCACGAACGCGATAAACGGTATTAAATTATTTTCTAAATTGAATTGTAGACCACGTGCTGTTAGAAGAATAGTGCGTGAGTAGGGTTGTTTGTTGCCACATGATGGCCGTATTTCAGTGTAAAATACGTGCAACCTAAACTCATCCGATAATATATAATTTAGGAAAAAGGAATAAAAATATGTCTCGAATGTCTGGGTTGGTTTTTATTAGTGACGAAATTAGTAATCAATTCATTTTTCTTCTGAAGGTTTCGGTGAATGCTACATCCTTAATTTAAATTAGGGGGACGTAATGTTACTAATGCTTATTAGCTGACAATCCATAGAACTAATAGTTTTTCTTTGGTGAATTATGTCAACGTCATGCCGTAAATGAGGTGACAAAACTGATCGAGACATCGGAAGCAAAGTATATGTATGTCCACTTCAAGCCGTACCTAGCGGCGTGGAATATTCGTGAAACGATTATTAGTGGATGCCATCTTATAAATACAACTTTTATTTATTCCAGATGACTGCTTGACTGTGGCCTCACGGCAGGCCGCCAAAATGATACGCTGCCTTAAAGGAAAGGTAATTATAAGTGATCACTAAAAATTTTGTACACATATACAATGTATGATGATGTCAATGTATTTTCTGAGACCTCTTATGAAAATTATATTGATTTTAAATAAAAGTACGCTGAACTAATTTATAAGTGCATTGAAAAGCGTTTGAGATACTCCTAAGCTTTTCACTAAACGTAATGTTTTTTTTATCATTCCAGCTTCTAGCCAGCAAAGCAGCGTCTCTTAAATACTTCATTTAGTGGATACAAAGAATTTTTAATAAGTAAGTTTTACGCACTATCTCCTAATGTTTACTTGAACTGCACTCAAACGATTGATCCCATCCAAAATATTTTTAAGTAAGACTTTCAACTACGTGCGAGTTTAGAGTCACTAGTTACTGCAGTCGACTGGTTACCGTTGTTAGTGCTTATGAAACTCGTAGACAAACGTTATGCGCAAATACTTGGTCCAAGCAAGCCCAAATCGTCGTTAGTCGATTTGCGGAGCATATTATTTTGCCAAGTATACAATTTTCAATCGTCGAGATTCCTAAATTTTATTCACATAAAAGTCAAGGAAAAGGATCAAAAGTTTGTAGGTTTTTTCAAGATCGAGAAGAAATTATAATTTAACTAAAACGTTTACAAATGCTAAAACATACATATTTTATTCTTTTTTAAGATCTCTACTAAGCTAAGCTTCTGACTAAGAAAAGCATGGAGTGACAATTGCTGATATCTTTCCTCTAAAGGTGAATATTTTAATTAGGACAAATTTTAAATGCTTTTAGCTTTGATGAAACCAATAAACCATTCACAGACGTCGTATAAAAGTCAAAACGTGGACAAACTTTTTCAATATTTTTTTGAAAATAGTAAATCTTATTTTAACTTGTTGCGGCTTATGGTTAGAAATTGGCACTGATTTATTACTAGTGTTTGCTTCTTAGCTTATTGTGAGCCCTCGATTGCATTTTAAAGAAATTTTTTTTTTTTAATTTCAGGACTTTTTTGTCGTTGGCGGGCTAACATTTATTAGCAACTCCACAAAATGCTCAAATTTAATAAATGGAAAATCATGATTGAAAAAAAATTAATATCTGCTCTTTTATTTAAAAGTCGTTTTTGACTAAATTAGCTCGTTCCCTTAGCTTTAATTCCTTTTCTTGCTGCGCAATCATCCGGTCGCCTTTAGACTTTTTCCCTATGCCAAGTTTAGGCAGACCACGATTAAGACCTTCCAATAATTTGCAGGCTTTACAAGGTTGTTGCGATGATACAAAACCACAACGTTCACATGTACCTCTTATCGGTTTCTTTACTGTATCTTTAAATCTTAATTGTTCACCGGAATATATAATATCCATTATCACTGAAGGGCGTATTTTTTCTAAATCTTTTAGAAACGTCCTCGCATGACCACGGTAAGCATTTGGCGCAAATACGCATTCCGTAGAAAAATATACTAGTTTCTTGTAATGTGCATACATAACAATTTCCTTCTCGTATGCATATTTTAAAGGTTTCACTCGTGGTATACAATTCTCATTACTGCTATCATCATTACTACCTGTCTTAATGTCCGTACATCTACTCAATCTCGCCGTATCGCCTCGTAAAATGTTCATTAAAACGGTTTCGGCTATGTCATCCGCGTTGTGGCCGGTAGCAATACTATCCACTTTTAATAATTTGGCACCACGATCCAAAGCCTGTCTACGAAAAACGCCACAAAATGTGCAATTATTTGTGCGACCTATCTGAGCAACTATACGATCCATAGTCCAGCCGTATAATTCTTCATAGGAAAGAATCTTTAAAGACATTTGGTAATCATCCCGATTTTTCTTGACTGTCTCCAGACTATCGTCTCGATAACCGGTTATACCTTCATCAATAGATAATAGCACCAATTCTAAGCCATAATTATAACGTTGATTCAAGAGTCTTAAACTGAAAAACGAATGAGAGTAAAGTGAGCGACACTGTTTGTTATTCATTCTCATAAAAAAGAAAACTTACATATGAGCTAAGACGGTCGAATCCTTGCCCCCGCTGGCTGCAATGGCTACTTTTTGTCCACTTTCAAATAAATTATTAGTTATTATGGTGTGATGAATTTCTAGTTCAAAGGCTCTGAAAAAACATTCTTTACACAACGCATCTCCGGTTTTAGGTCGCTTAAGGTGGGATTTTTACGTACATTAAAAAGTTTACAAATATAAATTAACATTTTTTTACCTTTAATGCAGCATTTTTCCCACAACCTGATTTACACGTAATAGGCATTTTTATATTTTTTATATTATAAACAATTAGGAATTTCACAAATTAGATAACACTTTGCACGTTTCTTCTTTGCACGCTCTAAAAGTTAGTTACGATATCTTTTGTTTATTATCTGCGAGATTAGAAACTGTACTGTTATTGTTTACATAAAGTCTGGCAAGGCTCCTTATTTTTTTCCTTTAAAAGAAAAATATTTACGGATTGGCACAAAGAAAACAAAAACAGAAAAAAAAACGAAAACTCAGGAAAATTTCCCGTAATAAGAACTCCTTCACAACATCTTTCTTTAAACATTTACAATTGACAATAAAAGGCTATTGAAAAAAAATAAATAAAAAGCTATAAATACACTATCAAAGCATTTAAGAGGAAGGAAAATTATTTTCACAACGCAGTTATCGAATGAAGAAAAAGGAAAAGAAAAATGCTGCCATCAATATTTTAAAATAAACTAAAGCGAAAGAACAACGAAAATATCTACGTCCATATATGCCAATTGTTATGTTAGCTTAATGACTGAGAAGTAATTGTTATCATAATCTACCGTCGTAAAAAAGCAATTATTATTACAGCGATTTGTAATGGGTAACGCAGGTAGTACAAATATGAATCGTCATAAGTCGAGCGACCTCTCAACACCTAACTCGCCATTTCGTGAGCTACCTTTGCGGGAGGGTGGGGGAGGTGCTGCGCAAGCAGGCGGTCAAGCTTTTATCTTCGATAAAAAGCGCGATTCAGTCTTGCATGGTGGCTCGTCACAAGAAGACGACGAAACTACTTCCGAACCTTATTATACGAAACCAGTAGGTAAAACAACTGTTGGTGTTGTGCAAAATATTATTACGGGTGACGTTGAATTTAGTGCGACATCAACGCGCAAACGTTCTCAAACTATATCAGAAGGTAACACCACCAACATAAGTCACATGTCTATTGGCCAAAAAGATAGTGACAAAGATGAAAGTAAACGTAATGATATCACAAGCGAAGCTGACGATGAGAAATTAAATTTACGGAGTCCAGCATTGCCAACTGTTTTGCGATGGGATGGAGGTGGCAAAAATGTTATGATTTCGGGCACCTTTACCAAATGGAAACCTATTCCAATGGTGCGAAGTCATGGCAATTTTGTGACAATAATCGATTTACCCGAAGGTGATCATCAATATAAATTTTGTGTGGATGGCGAATGGAAGCATGATCCAAAGTTGGTAAGTTCATAATGCTATGAAGATAAAAAAAAAGGAGTAACATAGATTAACGAACTAAGAAAATCAATAATTGAAAGATATGTAAAATTTATATATTACGTAGTACTTTTTTTGCTTTGTTTACATATAGTGTGCATGTGTAAATATGTGACTCTTTCGATGCTCACATACACATAAAACTACATATTTGTTTATCTAAGTATTTATATAGACTCGTCTATACACAATCAAAATTAAAAAGAAATTACAGTGTCTTCGAAAATGAAGAACTCTTACACAAAAAGCAAAAGAAGAGGAAATATTTATAATCTATTTATTTTCATTTTTTTCTCACAGAAAAGCGTGGAAAATGAAGATGGCGATACAACTAATTTGGTATCAGTACGTCAATCCGATTTTGAAGTATTTCAAGCCTTAGCCAAAGACAGTGAACAAGCGTCGAATCATGCCGAGAAAGAATATTCTCAAGATGTACCGCAGATAAAGCCATGGGAAAAGGTGTCGGGACCACCGATATTACCGCCACATTTATTGCAAGTTATACTTAACAAGGATACGCCATTATCGGTAAGTAATGAGACGGAATATATAAGTTATATAATATAAGAATAAATGAAAAGGCATAAATGCATAGTGATCTATCAAACATTAGGCATTTAAAGCGACAAGGCTTCTTGCTATCTAGACAAGATTACCAGTGAAGAAAAAATACCCGGTTACGAGTCCACCAAACGCATTGTTTTTGATTAGAGCGGATTTTTCTTAGTTCCTCTTCAATATCCTAAGTTAAACTAAGCATTTTAAGCTGTCCGCTGGCCAATGGCCAGAATGCCGGACGATCAAATATTTTCGCACAGAGCAAAGATAGTTCCTTACAAGACAACCGAACTCTCTAGGAGTCACGTATGAGACGCACGCACTGCTAAATCAATTGAAACCGTGACAAAAAAATTTCTCAAGGATAATTAACAATAACTGCAATTGTATCATGCCGGCGGCATTGCTACTTTCAACGATAGTGCTTTAATAATTATTTTATTTATTTAGCTTAAGTATTTTTATTGTTAAATCTTACCCTTGATAATAAATGAATATTTTTATTTACTGATTACAGTGTGAGCCGACCTTGTTGCCCGAACCAAATCATGTAATGTTAAATCATTTATATGCCTTATCTATTAAGGACGGCGTTATGGTCTTAAGTGCTACCCATCGTTATCGCAAAAAATATGTCACAACTCTCTTGTACAAGCCGATATAAATAAAAAAATTTGAACATGTTTCGTTGTCGATCTGCTGCTGTAGATTGTTAACGTGCATGTATGGAAATTTTTGCAATATATATATACATATATACATACTATTTATCTAAAGCTAAATTAGTTGTTACTGTTATTCGTAGGTTATATATTCAATAAAGCTTAATTGTAATTATAAAATATCTGCCAGAAATTGAGAAAAAATATTAAGTCAACGATACTGGAATATGATAAATTCCATATGCCCTCAAATAGCGCAATCGACTCACACATCTTTATGCCGTAACTTTTTGAAGAATATCAAAGTTACTCTTAAATTGTTGCTTACGATTGTCGTTGGTTTACAGCTTGTTTGCTTTATATGATTAGCAGATTCTGAAAATTAGAAAAAATTCATTCTTTAAACTGTTATTTAACAATAACTTACAGCATATGTTACATATGTACATATGTACAAAAAAAAAACAATATAAGCAATCAATCACGCGTAATTAACCAGTTTCCATTGCCTGACAACAATGGGGAGCTATTTTCGTATTCAAAAATTATTGTTTGCTAATTGCTCTCTTAACAAAGGATTCTCCAAGAAAAACCCTGTAATTCGGTTTTATGTAGGCTTAGACAGGCACTCAGCTACCAAAAAAGGTATCCAGACTCTAGTTCCGGTAAGAAATTATCCATTTTCTGCCATCACGATTAACAAAAAAACTGTTCAGCAAATATATATAATATAACGTCTCTTCACGCGGGAGCCCACTAGTTCTTATCTCAGATAAAGTATTAAATATATCTAAGCACAAAAATGCGAATTATGAAAATCTCAAAATTCTTCCTCTTCGATATTCATTACATTTTGTTGTCTACTCGAAGATCCCTGCTGTCGAAGCCCACCAAACAGATTCAGAGGCCTAAAGTGATGTTGCTTCATCGTATGCCAATTGTCGGTTTTAGGTTAAACGGTTTAAAAGTCGTAACACTAGTTGCCTGAAAACGATATTTTTTGGCTACCACTTGGTTACCACTTGTTCAGATCGATGCAGCATGGCTATTTACTAAGAAAACATGTCCTGTTCGGACAAGTGATGCATGGTACGAGGGTCCACAAAGTTGAAGAAGTACGAAAATGGGTCGGCTGGAGCATCGTTATCGAGTCAAAACAGGTTATTTTGACATGATAACACCCTGATGGCAAAAATATATTAAAATGTTATAGAAGCGATGGTATAAATACCCTTTTTCCAATCCATATGTACCGAAAATTGAATACTAGAAAGATACCATATTTTACGAACAATAAGACACAATAAAACATATCGGATGATAAGATGCATTACAAATTTATAAGATGATTTTTAAAAAAATTTATTTTAATATTACATTCGGATCAAAATTTTTCTTTCTTGTTAACATAACTCGTACTAGCATTATTCAGTTCATCTTCACTCTCGGTATTATCACTCGTCTCGTTAATGTCACCGCTCGTATTATTTTCATTTGAACTATTCTCGTCAGTCCTTTAGAAACGATTTATTGAAAAAACATTTTAATGTTGTCTTCGGACCAAAAAGCGCATCGATAATATGAGATCATTTTTCTATGCAGAAAGGTATGAAAAATACGGTATATATAACGTATCTTGAAATTGAAAAGAGACCATCAAAAAAAAAAAAAACAGATAAGTAATTGGTATCAAAACATTTGGTCTAAGCCGTATATAATTTTTTTTTCTTTGGTTTATTGTTAAAAATGACTATACGATTGTAATACATAATATGTTTATAATATAGTTTGTTTTGTTATAGTTGTTATATATAATAGTTTATTGTTTCATGTCTTTTACTTCGTTATTATAATTTTTTTTTTTATTTTTTTATATATTTAAAACTACACTACAAGCATTATCTTTACGTTCGTTTGTAATTTTTTAAAATTTTTATAAATTAATTTAAAGCTTTTTTTTTGTTCACAATTCACAGAATGATATGTGCTATAAATTTATCAACTAGAAAAAAAAAAAAAAACACACACACTACACTATCAAGTTTTGTCAGATAAACAAAACTTGCTCACTAAAAACTAATTTATTTCGTTATGAACAAAGTATTGTTTTATGTTTTTTTTTTGTTTTGGTTTTGTTTCGTCTTTAAGCTAATAGTAGTAGTAGAAGATTTCTTAAAAATTACAAGAGTAAATACATTTTTTATTACGTACATATATTTGCAAGTTGTAACGAATCGGTATAAAGTATATTAAGAAAAAATGTTGTAATTTGATCATTTTTCTAGTAGTTAAAAAAAAAAAAAACGCTTTCAATCGTATATATCTATATATTCTAAAAGAATTTCTTTTTTAATACTTTTTTTTTTTCAAATGGCTTTAGATTTGGTTTTTTTTTTTTTTTTGATTTTTAACTTTTAATTTAATACAAATATTTATCTATTAATTTCAGCTAAACTATGCTCATTGTTCCACTTCGTTGTTTATTGAAATTTATTCTTTTTTTAACGGAAACCTTTAATTAAAATGAAAATTCCGTCTGTTGCTTGGAGCTGGACGGCAAATGGTGTTTATTGACAAATGCTGCATACAGATCTTGTGTGATTTTCTGGAATTCTTCAGTTTTCTCCAATAAGGCATTTGTAAAGTATTCAGCAAATAAACGACCCATATATTGCTCTTTCGATGATGGCCACCAGCCTTCTAAGAAACCAATATGACCGCCGCGAGCCGTTACTACTATGGCTACATGTGTACTTCGTTCGGCTGCTTTTATTGGTATGGCATCTAATGGCTGAAAGGGATCATCAGCCGCACTTAAGCATAACAACGGTACGCAGATGTTATCCAATTTATTATGCAACGTGGCATCAGAGTAATAATCATCAACGTGAGCATAACCGAACTGTTTGGAGGTGAAAAGCGCATCAAATTCCTTAATCGTTTTGCACTGTAAAGTAAAAGAGGAAGAAAAAATTTTTTTTTTTTACTAATACTAATACCTTTTTTTTTTTAATATTTATAAATTGCTTACAAGGAAGCCAAGAGCTATTCTAATCTTAGTCATAGATTTTTATATCCTATACAATAACGGCGACGGCGTAGGTAAATTACGCTTTTGCGTACAAGAGGTTTAATATAAACCTATTTTTTATTAACATATTTTTCGGACTATTATACGGAACTTTTTACACAAAAAAATGGACGAAAATTTTGGACACGTCTTATGGTCCAAAATTATATACAGCTTGGACCATGAATGTTTTGATTCCGAGTACTTATCTGATTTTTTCTGTTTCCTTTTTAAATCAAGACACGTTATATATAACGTATTTTTCGCACCTTTCTACATAGGAAAATTGTTTCAAATTTTGCCTGCGTCTTATGGTCCGACGATAACATTAAAATATTTTTTGAATAAATCGGTTCTAAATTTGAGGGACGTGAGGCATGACAACAATATTTCAGATGAAAATAATACGAACGATGAGATTGACCCTTTGGCCTATACAGTATTTGCCGATTGCGCGAGCCAAACAA